GCGAAGCTTCGATGGGCTTTGCGAACGCCTTTCCCAGCCTCTGCAACTTCGACCATTGCTGCTCCTCTTTTCTCTTAAGACCTTCTTTTCAAGCCCGTCTGAATTGTTTTGCAAGTTCGGACGTTAGTTCGCGGTTGCCTGCAGCTCGTGCGATTCAACGCTGGCGTATCAGCTCGAATGTTCCTGGACACAGACGTCTCTTGGTGACTTTCGAACTCTCAGCCTTCATAGCGCTAACTTGAAGGTGTTGAATGAGCCGATCGTACTCCTCGTCGACAACAGCATCTTCCCAACAGCCCACTAATGAGTTGAGTAAGTCCCAATTTTTAGAGGATTTTGGAATTCGTTTTTTAATTCAGCGGCTTTTCCTCCTTTCTGCAAGCTCGCACGAAGGAGGCGGTGGTCTGATACCGTGTAGAATATTGGGACAACAACGACGTCGGCTAGGCAAAGCCTTTGGTTTACTGCGATGTAGCCTAGTTCGTTATGGTACTCTCGATTAGGAAACTTCCACGTCCAGCCTTGAGGGTGGGGCTTCTGGAATTGCGAGTTACCATGGATGATCTTGGTCGCCATGATAAAATCAAACAGCTGTTCACCCTGCTCGTTCCATTCTAATCTGTAGGTCCCAATGTGACGTTCTTCAGACATTTTTCTTGAGCCAATCTTGGCGTTAGAAACTCCAATGATGACCTTGAAGAATGTGGTTTTCTCTGTAGAACCTCTCCAAGTCTACATAGAACGCTTCAACTTCTTCTTCGTCATAGTTCGATGTTGGCGCGTAAACGATGAAGATTGTCAAAACCAAAATTGATCCACGTCTTTTTAATCGTAAACATCCGATTCTGGTTGTAAGTTGTTCGAATGAATCGATGTTCGTAGACAAACTCGTATTAACGAGAACTCCGACTCCTCCGATACCTCTACTCTCGCATGTTCCGAGAACACTTCTTCTGCGGTGTCATAAACGGCGTTGAATTGGTGGCGTCTTCTCGTCTCAGCCAGGCCAATGACGTCTTACCTTATACTTCTCGCTTGCATGGTCAAGCTTTCTATCAAGGACTCGGATGAAAAAGTACGTGCATTGTTGTTACAGATGGTCACCTTAATTCTTTGCGATCCAGGCAGCTTCCATTGGCCCTGAGACCTTAGTCTCACTGTACTCGTCCTACCCAACGCTGCAAAATTGGGGGCTCTTTCGGGGTCAGGAAAATGACCCCCGTTTTTTTTCACTGTGCTTCGCATTTTGATACCCACGGGCTTGCTGGGCTCTGAACATGGGGGCTGGGTATACTGACCAGTAGCTTGCCAGTCTCTCCCAAAGTGGACGTAGAGCTCATTTGCTGGAGGTGACTTCTAACCGCTTCGTTTGGGCGAATTGACTAGTAGAAAACATTACGCATAAGCGAAAAAGCGCGATGCACGCATGGGTACACCCTTATAAATACAGAAATTATGCGCCAAATAGGCTTCGCAGAAACAGAAATTCCATCCCCTGGATTCACCTGCTTCTCAAAGAAAAGCACGGTCTATGACGAACTATGACGAAGATAAAGTCGAAGAGTTTTATATGGGCTTGGAGAAGTTCTAAACAGAAGACCATACATTCTTCATGGTCATCATTGGAGATTTCAACTGCAAGATTTCACCAAGAAAATTGTCTTAAGAACGTCACAATGGGATCCACGGATTAGAGTGGAACGAACAGGGAAAGCAGCTATTTGAGTTTATAATGACGACCAAGACAATCCATGGTAATTCGCAATTCCAGAATCCCAACCCTCATTCCTGGACGTGGGAGTCTCCCAATGGAGAGTACCATAGCGAAATAAACCACATTGTAGTAAATTGAAGGTCTTACCTAACCGATTCTGCTGTCGCCCCAAAATTCTGCGCGGAGTCAGACCATCGTCTCATTCGCACAAGATTCTATTCTTCGCGGAAAAGAGAAAAGGCCGCTAAACTCAAAAACCGAAGTTCCAAAACCACCATACATGGGGCTTGTTCAATTCAATTGTCGGCTGCCGAAAAAATACCATTATCGATAACATTGGCGAAGAATACAATGGGCTCATTCAACACCTTCACGTTGGAGCTATGAAAGTTGAGAGTTAGAAAGTCACCAAGAGACGTTTGTCTCCAGAAACACTCGAGCTGATACGCCAACGTAGAAACGTAGGAACTGCAGGCAGCCGCGAACTACCGTCCGAACTTGCAAAACAGTGCAGGCAGGCGGTGAAATAGGATCTTAAAAAGAGGAGAGCAGCAGTAATAATCGAAGCTGAAGAGGCTGGGAAAAGCATTCGCAAAGCCCACCGAAGCTTCATCAATTACAAAACCAAGCTGATTGCACACCGACGCCCAGACGGAGCAGTTACAGCTTCCAAAAAGGCAATGGGGAATATAATTCACGAATGCTACTCTGATTCCATTGATATCCACGTCCACCTTCCGTGATACGAAATAAAGAAGGATGGATATGTTGTACCACAGCTTTTCCTTTCCGAAATCCTACATACCATTTCGTCGGTGAAAATTCGAACAGCACCAGGTCCGGTCAGGATAACATCTGAACGCCTAAAGAACCTTCCGCCAGTCCTCTTGAACACACTAGCTCAACTCTTCACACGTTACCTGTCTGAATGCAACGTCTCTAGTGGAAGACCAGTATGATCGCACTGTTATTTAAGAAAGGTGACCTACACGATATCGGCAACTTTAGCCCAATCTGTTTGCTGTCTGTTGTCTACAAAATTTTTACTCTAGTCATCCTAAACAGGATGGACAGAACACTGGACTAAGGACAGCCATCTGAGCAAGCAAGGTTTCGATAAGGATTTAGTACGATGGACCACATCCACACGATAACAAGACTCAATGAAGTATCGCTAGAGTACAAAGGACTGCTTTATCTCACGTTCATTGATTTAAGGAACGACTTTGACTCAACTGAGATAGAAGCAGTCATGGTAGCCCTTGATAGTCAGGGAGTCACTTCTCAGTACATGAAGTTTCTCCATGAGTTGTACAAAAATTTCACAACCAAAACAACGATATTATCACATGATGTTAAAAGAGGAGCAGGGCAAGGCCACAGTATCTCGATAAAATTATTTAGTTCTCCACCCTCCAGAACGTTATTCGAACATTGGAATGGGTTAGTATGGGAGTGAGAATCGATGGTCGGGAGTTACATCATCTTCGCTTTGCTGATGACATCATCCTTGTAAAACCAAACATTAGCCAAGCGGAACGTATGCTTGCCGACTATGACAGATCCTGTGGAAAGATTGGTCTTCGACTAAAACTCACAGAAGCGATTTTCATAAGAAACGGGTTTGTTTCTTATGCCTAATTCACGCTCAATGGAATGACTATTTCCGAATGCTCCAGTTATGGCCATCTAGGTCTCGAAATCAACATGTTGAACGACTTAGCTCCATAGCTGAACAGAAGGAAACGAGTGGCTTGGGAAGCTTTCAAGAGCATCGAGTGTGTAGTGTGGAGAGCAAAGAACACCCGACTCCGACTCCACGTTTTCGACCCAGCGGTACTTACTGCGTTAACGTAGGCGTCAGAAACCGGGTCGTTGCGTAAGCTAGATGAAGGATCACTCAGCGTTATTGAACGCGCAGCGGAATGGACGATGCTAGGAGTATCTCGTTTCACTCAAGTAATGGAAGCGATCCGAAGCTCCGACCTGCGTCAAAAATCAAAGATGCCGTTTTGTACGCCAAGCAGTCGGAGATAAGGTGGGCCGGACAGTAATGCGTATGAACCACAACCGATGGACAGGAGCCGTTGGTGACTTTATTCCTCGGGATATCATGCGTACTGCAGGGAGACCACTGACTTGATGGCAAGACTTCTTCACGAAAAGCCTAGAAGAAAGATATGATGCTCGTCGAGTTTCTAGAGCCAGTACAATCCAGTGTGCTCCTCTTGCACGCGACAAGGAAAATTGGAAGATTTACTGGCGCCCGGGGATCATCGGGGTTACAGGTGATTCAGGTGACAGGTAGTGTGATCACATGAAATTTAATGCGATTCGCAGCTACAAGAGAAGCGTGAAGATCTGCTTCTGTGGAGAGCGTTGTACATGCGTAGTAAGAATCAATCTCCACGGCGTGTCGTGCGTGTTTTCGTCATGTTCGGTTTCAATGACGTCCTGCTTAACACGAGAATTTGCGGCCTCTCACTGCTCATCTCTCCAGCCGACGTCGTGGAAGGGGGCACCCAGTGTGCTAGGTACTGAGGATGGCCTACTGCTTGTTGTGCTATTTTATCCTTGCTGGAGTCCTGACTTAACATTGCAAATGCGAGTTCAAGTCTTTACCGCGATGTGGATCCTAGAGAGATATGTTTTTTGCGACGAATCCTTTGCTCGGTCTTCCTTGAGATACTGGGTTATACTGAAGTTAAAGCCTATAAAAATTCTGAAATAATAAATCTTGAGAAAATCCAATACTAGATGTAGGAAAAGCAGGCTTTAGCTTCGAAAATATATGCTAAACATGCAAAATAGAAAACATATATTCGAAAAAACTACACGGAAAATTGAAGTAATAAAGTCGGGCATTTCATTTGTGTCAACATATCAGCATTCACATCTCTATCAAAAGGTTACGAAGAAGCGCATAGATGCAATGCATGTGAGATATAGACAATGTAGTAATAGCGCTGGGTTTCTGATAAAGAAGGGCTAAGAGGACAAATAAAATTGGGATATTAAAGGAAAAATAGAGACCGTCAATAAAAGTGAGACGGAATGTGTATTTTTGATAAGATGCATTTTCACTTATCATGAGCGCGGTCCGCAGATATCGTCACTGAAAAAGGTTGCAGTTCAATGTCTTCCACCTCATCAGCTTCGCCTTCCCAAATCCTGAATTGTGTTTTTATAAAAGGCGAAAACCAGCATATACTTCCCAATATTTTCTTAGAGATAACTTGGCAGTTTTATAAAAACTGATTTCTAAAATTATTTACAGATATTTGAGTCATAGAACCACGTCTCCGAAAGGAACAATGTTGTGGAAGCTTCTGTCACGGTAAAGACCTACGACAACCTCACGTAAGCTTTCCAATAACTCAGGATTTTTTAGAATGATTGCTTGCTCACGACTAGAATATTGAAAATAAAATTATACCTTATAAATAGAGAAACTTCTAATCATTTCTTACCGAAGGGAATCCATTGCATGCAAATATACGATTTGCGAAAACACGTGGCTAACGTCTCTTCGAAGCACAAAAACGACAACGCATTTTAGAGGCACCAGCACATAATATACCAGAATTCCCAGAATATCCGTTTCCTTATGCATCATTCTGAAATATACGTTCACTCTAGCTTTAAAGTAACTATCTTAAATTGACTAGAATAAACAGTTCGACTTCTCGAGTCCAGTTTTATAACTTGATTATGCCCTTAAGAAACCTTCAACAGATTAATGGCTATACATCCGGCGACATATCCACTGTTGCCAGTTAATATTATCCGCATACTAAAAATAACCGAGTCATACACACAGGAGGATCCGTAGGGCCGACAGTGTTTTTTCCGAGCGAGATTGACTTTCGATAAAGACAGTAAAAAAAAGGAAACCCTTTATTTCGCGGAGGAAATGGCGTTACAGTAATGTGGAAAAGAGTGATTGAGGGAATCCGCCATAATTTCAGGAAAAAACTGCGCTTCTACAAGAAGATGATGACAATGGCAATCTTTATTTACACCATGCGTACGTTAGCAACGAGACCGTGCAGTTTACACTTGGTAGTGTCTGCTATGAACGGCAACCGTGCAAGCATAGTAGTTTTCTCGATGGCATGAAATCACTCACTGCACTCCGAAAATTGACAAAATCCTTCAGAACATGCCACACTAGAGAAATTTTTGGAGTTGGCTTCATATATCTTGGTCCAATGAATTGCGGCTTAATCGTGCTTTCATGTATTCCTTAATCCTAAGCCAATATACAGAATGGTAGATCTTCCTACCACAGCCTTTAGTGAGAAAAACAGCTTCGATGTTTGGGCAGGATGGCCCAGTTAAGAATTCACCAATACCTTAAGTCACCGCCGTTTTGCTAAAGAACTATTCGCTGGGAGGGAGTCTCTATTACCCGATCCATAAGGGACAACGCAGTGAGACAACGTAAAAAAATCTCTAGCATGGGTATCTCCAGACTTTAGATTATACTCGTAGGATGATTCCAACAAGTCGGGCATTCAAGCGTTCAAGTAAGGCAATTAAAACTACGAAAGAGATGTTTACCAAACTCACATTACCTCCTGTCAACGTAAAATTACGGCAGGAATAGGATTGCCATATGAAAGTCCCATGAAGGACATCATAACTACTGCAAGGTTATCAGCTGATTCAAATCTAAAGCTAGCTCTAGAAAGACGCCTTAAAAACTTCATGCCGAAATCTAAAGAGTGGAAAGAAACTTACGAAGTTGTTCCAGCTTTTTGTAACGGCCAAAATCACGGTAACAAAAAATGCGCCTATACGGGTCAAAATAAAAACTACCTGCCTAAGTCTGAGCTTGGAGAGCCGAATAATGCTATTTCCATCATATGTTGGCGTGAATAGGTTGTCCGAGATTGAACCACCTTGCTAAAGCGCAACCCAGCGAGATTTTCGAGAATTCCAGCCAAAAAACTGTGATGGAAAGGCATGCAAGAAAAACGCGATGGTCAGTAGATTTATGGAGTTTGTTTCCATTGAAGCACCACTTTCATACTACCAAAGGTTAGCTAAGTGAAATGAAGTCTGCCGATTTTGACGACACGTGTGGAACAATAGGAAAGTAGGTGTACTCGATAAAAATTAGGTTATAGAGAAATGGATTTGACTTGTAAATTTGTTTACATTCTAAAAACTACCATCACTAAATTGTCTAGCCACATATGTGTATATATATACATATACACGTATACATACATACATACATACATACATACATACATACATACATACATACATACATACATACACACCTACATTGTGTAGTTGAAGTGAGAGAATAAATATTGAAATATGGAAAATTTGAAATATGAGCCTTGAAGCAAAAATAGTGGTAGAAATATATGAGACATGTTGGTTTAAAATTGAAAGCAGCTGTAAACTTCATATTATAAGATGTCTAGATTACGCAATCATGTAGAGGTTAGTTTGAACAAGCGCTATATTTTACTCCAAGTTATCAGAAAGCAATAGGTGCTCTGTTCGCTCTACTTGTAACACAGTATTTACGAAATCTTAAACCGGAACCAACCTCAGAATATAAAAATCACAGGAAGGACCGCGATCAGCACACTGCGTCGACCTCGACCATGTTTCTGATTTATCTTGTACTTTATTTCGTGTTTTACAATGGAGAAGGATTTGTATACTTAACAGTAACTACTTCAATGATTGCCTCGTTTTTATGTGTCTAAAGGTTTTTTATAATTACCATATTGTCGACAAGAACTCTCAGCAACACTAGGGGCACAGCAGTTATTGGAGGATTGAATGGAATTCCACACGTCACATCGGATTGTTTCGTTCACCATCTAAAGCGAGTTTCCTGTATGATATAGTCATTACACTAAAATATGCAAATGACCAGCTTTTTCTTCCTTGTTAACAATTTACTTTTCATCAAAGGCAAAACTAGCACTTTCACGTTTTATGTTCAATATCACTCACCGCTGCTGTTTAAGCTCTTCTGATCCATCTAGATCAACCCATTCACTACATAAAGACGGTTTATTAAGTATTTTATGGCCAATGTATGTTTCTTCGTCTAAACAGCCTCACGGAGAGAGCCGTCTTTGATTGAATTGCTTCCTTCGACTGTTTGCCTGAGACCGTGCAGAAATGGTGTTCATTTGTTGACTTTGACGGGCAAGTTCGTTATGATAACAATAGACTTTTGACATAAATTTAGTAGGCTGGTGCAACGACTCGTTATACCAATATATTCCGCAACTATTACAAGAGATTAGGTATATTCTACCTGAACTCATACAATCATCATCCCTGCCGTAAGGGCAAATTATGCAGTTTGGTGTTTCACATAGACGGTCATACAGCCGGTTACGAACAAACTGACGACTTACAGTATCCGATGGTATTTCCACTATCGCTACCAAGTCCTCTTCACCTGCCCTTCTTAAGCATTGTTTTATAGCTGCAATTGCTTAATCGCTAATGAAAGGCAACATAGAAGGGACAATTTCTTTGGCCAAGTTTTTCGTTTTGGTGCGCGCTCTTCTAAATCTAATCTTCTCTTCTAAATGCCCTTCTCTTCTAAAGCTTCTTCTAAAAAATCTAAATCTAAAAATTTATCTCGTTCGGTTACTATTTCCTTAGCCATTGGAGATGGCTATTTGCCGAGCCAAGTCGCAGGATTCCTCTTTTATTCCCCTTTTTGTGCACAAAGAGTTCGTTGTTCGAAACGTATTTTTCACAATCGTCCTTTTTGTGTGTGAAGGGTTGGAAGAGAGGGAATAAACAAGAATGTTCTCATTACTTGGTTTTCGCTACCACTTTGCCATGCAACCGCTGTATGATAAGTTGATGTGAACGTTGACTAATGGAAGCCAATTTTCATTCAATTTCTCCCGGATGAATTTAATGTACTCAAACTGCCCATTCAATAAATCAAAGCATCTGTCCATCTCCTCTTGAGTAGAGAAATTGACAAAACAGTCATCTATGTATCTGCAGTAGAGTAGCGACCTGAGATCGATAACAGGGGCTTCCATTCTAGGCCTGAACGCGATGGCAAGACTTGGTGCCAACCGCTGTCCTATTGCCAGCTCTCTAATTTGCGCGTAATAATTTCCAGATCCCAAAACCGACTTTCTGTTAACCTCGGCATTAATTGATAATTCAATGTTTTTCATCAATAAGCAGACACGAGGTTGTTAATATAGAATTTATTAGAACACAATTGCTGACGTTTCGGCGGTTTCGCCTTCTTCAGAGCCGTTTATTTGTTGTAAGTATTTAAGTTAGTTGGTGGATAGCCGCCGCACAGAGTAATTCATGGTCGATAACTGTCTCAGTTCAGAACTGCCAGTTATCGCCCATGTATTACTCTGTGCGGCGGCTATCCACCAACTAACTTAAATA